ATATATTGGTATTAAAATTGTTATGCCCTGGTCTAGGGAAGCCCGAGCGCCACCTATCCGTGGCGTTCCCTTGCCCACCCACACAAATAAGCTCCAGTGCTGCGGGAATACAGATGTATGTTTGTGTCTTCAGAGGGGAAACACCATTCAAAAATCTATTTATACAAATGGAGTCATTGTGTTTAGTTCATGTCATTGAATTGATGTTGTACTAACTTAAATACTAACAGAGCATTGTTAATCAATAGAAGGTCTGAAGGCCTCTGTGAACGTATTGTAATCACAGTGATCCAGCCTATACGACACCTGATGACGCATCTCTTCTTAATTCAATCAGATGCTGTGTTCCATCACTAATTCAAAGCCTTATGTATTAATATCACTCGCACAATAACATCTGTGAATATGGATATAAATAAAGTATTGCGACATAATCAATCAACAAATCCTTCAAAAATAAATTATTTTAGTTAATCAAACTCTGGGATTGTATTTTACTACAAGATCACATTTGTTCAATCCTTTTAATGGAGAATCCTACGGCGATCCGGTTTCCTTATTGAAAGAAATAAAATCTGTTGTATTTTAACTCGACCTAGGAACTTAGGAGTTTGCCAACAACCCACCTGCCTGTGTGTGTTTCCACATCGATGTGAGATTTTTAAGGGAGAGCAGAAACCAATGAATTATGCTGCGGTCAAACTAAGCTTCCTCTCATACAATTGATAATCATTATGGGTTGAATGGCCATTAACATTTGGGGAATGACAAATGAAATATTGTATCTTTTGAGTCATTGTATCCAAGCTCTAATACCTAAGCTGACACAAATCCGTCAATCTATGCAGTTTACTCCCAAGGCCATGGTGGCAAAAAGATCCTTCACAAAGAGCCATTATCTTACACTATCACGCCAACCGTCATGCTTTTCAAGTAACTGCCGTGAGTTTTTATTCGTTCAGATATCCAGATTCCACTCGAGTTTTGAGTGTAGATCAGGAATGGTGACTCACATACTGATCAATAAAGCCAAATCTTCACCGTCTCATAACAAATCATAACAACATTTGTAGTTGGTGTTTTTAAAGCCTCATGATGCAGCCTGTTTGTAGAATATAAAGTAATACTCCTTCCTGGCAGCCATCAACAATTCTAATAATAGCATCTTCTGTCCAGTGACGACGATAAAAAGAAGCAAAGAAGTGAAGGTTTCTCTTCTAATGTGGAGAAGTGTGGGCCATTGTTGTTGACAGCTGTTGGCACTAGAGGTGGGCTTTTTGGGGGGGGTTGTTTGCTACTTCACACTATGGAAATGAACATTCAATACATTTTTAGCTCTTGGGCTGATGTGTTGTGTATGCAAAATGATTTTTCAACAAGTCTAATGTAGAGATGCCCCTATTCACAGATAACTTACTAATACCAGCTAGTTTCAAAATTAACATTGAAATTGGAATTGTATTCGGAATCAATTGTTATGGATTTTGTTTCTGCAAAATAGATCTGTAGACCTGCATCCATTCCCTGTAGTTATGATTGCTCAGTTTATGAGGCTCAGGCTAAACCAGAGCGATGCTGAGCAGTGAAATCCCCTCTAAGACCCGACAGATGAATCTCAGAGGAGGACGCTGACCCCTCCTCTTTGTCCCCGTGCCAGCAGGCAGCCCAACACTCCACGGCCAATCGGAAGCGCCAAAATACAATAATGACATGGTACAAAACAAATGCTTAAAATTTGTAATATTTAAAATTAGCATATCTTGATATTTGCCCTTTCGGAATAAGTGCTGGATTTTAGTAAATAGATACAGATCTATTTATATATCTATGTTGAGTTCATGTTCTTACCAATAGGGGAGCTCCCTCACATTGTAAGATGCGGGTTGGTTGGATGCACCGTGTGTGTTTGGCCTGTGTCTAATCTCAGGCATGAACGGCCCTAATGAGAGATCTGGGACTAGATCCCTGTCAACAACAGGGCTCCTCCTGCCAGCCTTTGGGCCAGTGACTGCTGCTGGTGCCAAAGGGGCGTTGCCTGCACTCCAGGGCCCAGGCTGTTGTGATAACTGAACCTATGATTAGTTTTGCTCCCCCGTAGACATTGAAAATGCTGTCAGGGCTTGCATTAAATTTGCCTTTTATATGCACATATACTGTCTGCAGAATGACTGTGTGGTTTAGCAGCCACAACCATTTTCTTCTGCCTTGATTTAGTCTTTCTGTATCCATTTTAGTCCCCATTCACATTACTGATCCCGTGAGTGGTGACATGTTTGCATAAATGTTGTGTTGGGTTTTCCCGGTTCTGGATGGGTAATCTCAGGAAAATAAGATGCAGCAAGACAGGTGTTTTTTCTTTTCTGAATATTCATGGCAAATAGTATCAAAACAGCCATGCTCACTTTATAATTGTTACTAAATATACAAATATGTTTTATCTTATGTACATGTTTTTAAATTATGCTTCAGCCTTAATAAATCTGTGGAACAGATTTTCTCAAACTTGTACTAGATGTTGTTGAAAGAGAACTGCTTGGTTTGAAAACGGGGAGAAGAGAGACCACGGCTTCGGTTCCCAAATGAACCATAAACCACTGCAGATACTCAACATAATGGCTACAGCTGTGTGTGTGTGTGTGTGTGTGTGTGTGTGTGTGTGTGTGTGTGTGTGTGTGTGTGTGTGTGTGTGTGTGTGTGTGTGTGTGTGTGTGTTTACATGTATAAGTCAACATGCACTTGTTTGAAAGTGAATGATAGTGCTCAGGTGGGCAAGTAACCCATTTCGCTTATTCCTCCTCATTATGTATAAAGCTCTCTGTCCAGTTGATATAATCTCCTTAGCAGTTCTCCCAAACTCCCACCACACCTTACTTTTATTAAATTGTTGGTGAGTTGCTAAATATATATTGTGCGTCCCGTTAAAATACACACAAGTATATGTATGTATGTATATATATATATATATATATATATATATATATATATATATATATATATATATATATATATATATATATATTTGTGTGTGTGTGTGTGTGTGTGTAACTTGCCCTTAATTTCATTATGCTTGTGTAAACATTTTAATACCATATAGCCTAATTATGTAAAAATCCCGGAGGGATTACTGCCTAATCCTCTTCCTCCACATGAGCATTGGATGCTGTGGCTTAATGCTTCAGGCTGGTGTCTTTCTCTCTTTGTAGCCCTTCAGCCCTGGAAGTGTTATTTTTAGTAAGAGGTAAATAGGCTGATACTTTAAAGCTTTGATTTAAAATAAAGACGCTCTCCTCAATTCACCAAAATAATTGCTACATTACATATTTCTTAATGGCTAGCAAATGAACGCTTGAAACGTATTTACTTGTTCTTCTTTTGTGAATAGACTGCAGTGAACATTATTAGCAGTAAAAAAAAAAAAAAAAAGAAAAATCCAATAAAAGGATTGCAACTGTATTCACCCCCCGTAAGAAGCGTGTAAGCAGCGTGTTCTGATAGCATCAGCAGATCCGGATCACCGTTAATGGACCCGAGCAACGCTGAGAAAACCACCAGTATTCCTGTAACACTATCGGCTATAATTGGCCGAGGAACGCAGATTAAGATTGATGAGACGTCCAAGTGGCTCCTTGGAGTTTAAGGGATCGATAAATATCCCGATTCCGAGAGCTTTCGTTCGAGAGCAAACCGACGCACTGTGACGGTGCTGCGCAGCGACACGGACCCGAGAACATGGAGGATGAGGCGGAGGAGGAAGAGGGGGATGGGGGGGGGGGGGGGGGAGGACACAGACGTGATCACTATCAGCTGGGCCGGGCACAAAGCCGCCTTTTTTATTGCTGAAAAATTGTGAACGAGCTGGGAGTTTGGTTTCCTTTCTGTCTTAACCCGTTGTGTGGCTGCAGTAAAAACAACAGCCTAATTTTGTTTTATGTGCGAGTCCCTTTTGTCCGGGCGTCTTTGTTTTTGAGCCAGCCTGCGTATTCAGTGAACTAAAATTTCTGGTTTCAGAACCGCCGTGCAAAGCGCTTTATGGTCCTTTTACTATATGCAAAGGATTCGTTTTATCTGTCTATTGATACCGATGGCTGTTGGCGCTTCGATCAGATGCCGTCATGAAGCCATCAGGCTCAACTCCCATTCCAATGCATTTATGCGTTATGACAAAAACCGGTTCAAATGCCTTTGTTTTCTGGCCTCCCATAGTGGTGTCCACATTTAGACTTTTACGGGGCTTTCACGATGAAATCTTTTTGGATAATCGACATGAACACACGTTTTTATTCCCTGACCATGTGGCGGCACAGTGTTGCGCAAGCAGAGCGTTGGTACCACATTGATCACGATGTGTGTTATCCGCCTCTATTAGTTCAACATAAATATTATCTTTCATTCTATTGTGTGTTCCTAACTTTGTGTAGGCCCAGTGGTCCTGAGCAGCCCGGCCCAGCTCGTTGCACCCCTCCTGGTGGCCCGGGGGACTCTGTCCATCACCACCACTGAAATCTACTTCGAGGTGGACGAGGATGACCTCGCCTTCAGAAGGGTCGACTCAAAGGGTAAGTAACCTGTAAGCACGTGTGCAGCCCGCGTTTAAAGCTCGCACTTTGGCTTCCGAAGGGTTTAGATCTTTGGGATTGTTTTTTTCTTTTCACTGAAACTCGCCGATATTTGTATTTTAAAAGCACAATGAAAACGAAAACGCGCAGGTGGGACTAAGCCTGCACGACGTGCCCTGTCCTGATTTTATTAAATGGCATGTGCTATGGGTTTTATTGTAATTAATTCCACTGCATGTGTTTACACCCAATGCATTTTGTGTGCATTTTTTATTTTCGCCGTGCAGGTATATGCACGCACATTTCTTGCACATTGCGTGATTAGGATTTAAGCAAACTGGTCGGAGGGGTTCCCAAAATAAAAGATCCATTTGTAATCTTATTGCTTGGCATTAGGCCTACTGTCCAAAACACATTTGAGAAAACCATAATGGGACACGAATATAAAAACAGCTTGTTTTATTAGCTCTTTAAATTAAATCCAAAACAGAAAAAAACAGATCACAGATGTTATAATCCAGTGTATTTCAAGTGCATTTTTTTCAATTAAAACTGTACTATATATATATACTTTATATATATATATATATGTATGTTATCATTTTTTTCATGTAGGCCTAAGCATGGTAGGGATCAACAACAACCAAACATGTCCGAGTACTTTAAATAATAATTCAAGTAAATAGATGGAATGTTTTCAATGTGGCAAATGTTGTACGCCTATCAAAATGTAAACTTTCAAAAATTAGACAATGTCAGACTACCACTGATGCAAGTATAAATTAATAACGGGTCTAACAGAAAAATATAAAGTTCAGAAGTAGATTTAAACAGGTGGATCCTATTTACGTGTCACAGAACAACACTCACAATTTGCAGACCACTTGAATCACAATCTATGAATATATTTACAGTATAAAATGTACATATGCGTATTTGTACTTTTTTTTTCCAAAGGCTTGTCAGTTTGCTTTATTTTAAAGCATTTAATTAAGGAAATGTAGAATGTAGGAAACCATGTGGCATGGAGAGAAAATAAACCACTGGTGGCTTCCTGAATTAATGTTGGAATAATTTAAATGTGCTAAATATCGACACCACCAAAAGGACGCACGGGGGTAAATTGGAAAACTCAACTGTCATAAAAATCATTTTGAAACCGGCTTGGTCCAAACCCTAACAGAGGACAGTCGCATTTCACCTTAAAAGACTTTACAAATGGTTTGTAGTATTTTTCTGTACGTTTTAAGAGCTCGCTGTGGCCGTTTTCACCACAACGTTTTAAGACGAGGTGAACTAACGCATTTTTTATTATTATTATTATTATTTTTTACCTCAGAGTTTCTCCAAGCTTTTGGGGTTGGTCAGTATTTCTCTCGCCAGTCGCCAGGTCTGTTTGGCCGCATTCTCTAGAGCAGAGTGAGGTTTCCCCTGAAAAAGGTCTAAATTAGGCAGGAAATAATGCGGGCACCTTCTGCACTGCAAACACGAAATGAGCTGCAATAGTATCCCGTTGAGGCGGTCGCCGAGGCAGTTCTCGTCCCAGTCCGACTCCCTCGGGTGCTTCTCGCACTCGTAGGAAACCAAAGTTTTCATGTGGTAGTTGTTCAGCGGCGTCCCGGGCAGCTCGAGGTGACGGTCGCGCAGCGTTTTGAGGACCGACAAGCACTTCTTCCTGCACCCGCCCAGGATGAGCCGGTTCTCGGCCTCGGCGAACTGCAAGACCCAGGCGTCGCTCTCCGCCGAGCTCTGCTTGCCGTTCAGGGAGTAGCACTCTTTGGACAACAGATTGAAACCCTCCGCCTTGACCTCCGCCACCCGGTTCGGTCCCGGCCAGGGGATGTGCGGGAGAGGCCAGTGCGCGGCGCTCCGCGGCCAGATCCCGGTGCACTTGAAAGCCGGCGTGATTTGCACCACGTACCTGTCCCTGATGCGCAACTTCACCTCGCTCGTGTCGGCGACCATTTTGACAACGTCCCTGAAGCTGCATTTATCCACCGCCTGCGCCACCAGCGTCTGGAACCGCGAGCGGATCTTGCGCGCCGAGAGGTAACCCGAGGCCGTTATGAACTCGACCCAGAGGGACATGCTTCTCTTGCGGCCGTCGCTGAGCTTGAGCACGGCGCAGCCCGGGAGAGAGCCGTCGTCCACGAAGTTGAACACTCCCATCTGATTGAGGTAGAGCACCACCTCGAACTCGTTGGGCGAGATGACCTCCAGTCCCTCGAAGCGATTATCCATCTCGCTGAGGGAGCTGATGAAGCGCGGCTCCTGCACCTCGACCTCCTTCAGGACATCCGACACCACCTTGCACACCTCCCGGATGGACTTGGAGATGGCGGCTTTTCGAGACTGGCATTTCTCGTTGTAGTATTTGTTGAGGTGGTACACCAACTTTGCCTGGGCGGCTATCATGTTTGGGCAGAGATCCGGGTTGTACACCGGAGTCTCGCAGTAAGCCGAGGGATCCAACGCGGCTGTTTGTATGGGAGCCAATTTTAGAGAAGAAAGAACGCTATTTAAAAAGAAAAAAAAGCGTCTATTTATAAGACAACTATTTTAAAGCAGCGCTCAGAGCACATGCGTTATAATCATATCATAACATGCGCTGCTGCTGTGCCGCAAAACCGCATTGAAGTGCACGATGCAAGTCCTCGGATCTGTCAGGGCGGCCCTGTTTAGAAGTCCATTTCTAGCGTTGTGAGGTTCAGTCGCCCGAAGAATACCTTTTTTTTTTTTTTTTTTAGTTTCTCTCTGATCACCGCGCCAGTTTGGAGTCCGCGTAATTGCGCAGAGTGGAGTGTTCCCTCCAGACGCAGACACCCGGCGTTGCTGTGTTTTACAACCGGAGAGAGACACGCACACACACTCTTTATTATAAGGGAGGAGTTGAAACCCAAGACGTCCAATCACCAGCTGATGCGTCACCGCTTCCCAGTTTATCGAAAACAAATTCCTCCCCGGGTGCTATATACGAGTAAAAAGTACAGGTAGGAGCAGTATATCGAGGAGCGGAAGTACATCTACGTATTTCGAGAGGAGGGGGGAAAAAAACAGCAATTTCACTGCGTTGCTTTCCTTGGACTCTATCTGCTGCTTTTAAGTCCACTATATTGAATCATGTATGAAACAGTAGGTGTTAAGTATTTATGTGTTTACGGAATTTAAGTTGGACATATTATTCGAATATTTTCTTTTTTTCAAGAAAAATGTCATTTTTATTTATAAATTGAGTTTGTCTCATTTTTGCGTTTTGTTTTTGAAGCAGACTGTTGTGAAATCACTGTTGTAATTATGAAAATATTTTTTAACGAGACGTTTCAGGGTTGGTTCAATTAATCGAACAGCCTGGTAACGGTCTTATTTGAGGGAGATTAACACCTTATCTGCTATTTATGTTTTGCATTGTGATTCTGTTTGACGGGATCATTATCGTGGCTGCGATAATAGTTCATATCTTGAGTTTACAGTTCGAGCTGATTTTACCGTGCAGATTGTTTTTACTCGTTTATTGCACAAGCCTATTGCATAGGTAACAAATCCATACGCAGCTATTGAATTCATGTATTTTGTAATGTACATTAGAATAAACTTTTTTTTTCTGACAATATACAGTAGGTCTATTTAATTATTTATTGCATGGCTCAAAACCACACTAACCAATATACTAATGAATATTATATATAAATGGTTGTCAATCTGCCAAAACTAAAATGAATGTAATGTAGATTATTTTGAAAATGCTTGTAATGTTGAAGTTGTTTTTGCTTTCACAATAAATATTAATAATTTCATGTTGCTGGATCACATTGATATCTTACAAAATGTTGTAGTTAATTAAATGTTTTTCTTAAACAACAAGATTAAGATACAAGCAACAAGAAGAAGAGCTGTAATGTTAAAATCAGAGAAAAAAAGGCACACGTTGGTCTGATATCAGCGATTCCAAATAAAGAGATCTTGCCATACATCCTCTCTGGCTCTCATTGCACTGGCACTCCATCTCACCAGGTACAGCTCATGCTTTGAAGAGGACTTCTAAAAGATAGAGCTGCACGGATCACATAAGGAACACAAAGACATTTACATTCATCTCTGCTCTATCAGAACTACATACGACCAGACATTATGAGGGCAAACTGGCACTCGTCAGCTCCGTCTCGCTACAAGCATGCGGCTGAGCGGGAGGTGGCGTGTGTGTGGGAAGGACCCTGATAGATAGGTGACTCCCATTATCAGCACAACCTTCTGTCTCGGACCCACTGCCAGTAGCCAGTGTTCATTTCACACTGTTACCAGGCAGAAATTAAAGACAAGAAGTAGCATCTTTTTGTTCCTTGTTTTTTTTTTCCTTTACAAAAATTAATTAATTTAAATGAATTTACGAAATTATGTCTACATGGTTGACACGTCACATTTGAGTCTAAAAGAAATTCATAGAACCGAAAAAAAGATGTCTATTTTTGTGTGTGTGTGTGTAATATATCATTTCTGGAGACCAAATAATGGAGTGTTTTCATGTGGTGAGAGGTAACTCAAAGCCTCTTGCCCTTTGAGGCTTTGATAGTCTTTCCTCTCACTTCACTGTCTGTGGCACTCAGCAGGTACTTGCCTTTTATTGAAAACAGACCAGCCTCACTTTCCTGGAGATATCTCCAAATCAAGTTCCACCTCTTGCGTTTGGCCATATGTATTTGCTATAGAAGGAGAGGGTCTCATTGTGATGATCACCTCTTAATCCAAAGCGTGTGGCTGCAAGGAGTAACTCAACCTGCTCTGCAGTCCCAAGACGCCAGCAGTTGTCAGGTCTTGCTAAGACAATCAAATCTTCTTAGCAATATCCATCCATACCATTACAACATTACCAGCTTTGTTTCTCCATTCGACATCCCGCTAGGCTATTGGAGGCCCTCCAGTGTGATATATGGGGCTGTGATTCCAGCACAGGCCTATTTCTGACCCTGCAAAATGTATGCACGATGGTGTAAATCAATACAGTGACTTCTACTTCCCCTAATTTCGCACGAGCATGTGACCCTGTTTTCAAGGCCTCTTTGTTTCCAGAGCATGCCTCTACACTTATTCATTTTTTTCCTCCTCCATTTTTCTTTTTCCTTTCTTAGTAAGACTGATCGTCCTGTTAACATGGCCGGCCATAAGGTCAATGGTGCTTGTCTGATGGCTGAAATGCCTTTTGATGACACCACTTAGGACAGGAGTGACCTGAAATGATATTCTACTATATGTCGCTTTATTTTAAATTTAATCTTCCAGGCTTTATGCTGTATTCACACAAATTAGTAATAGCATTGAAATAACACATATGTATTTAATATACAAATGGTTAAAATAACCTTTATTGTATGTGCAAAACAGTATGTTGTGTTAAGAATTAAATATGGTAATATTTTGAAAGAGACTCGGCATCTTTGGCTTCATCCGTGTTGTATAAACAAAAGGTTTTACTGTAAGAATTATGAAGTTTCAATTTACCCAAGACTACAAAATCAATCTGTTATTATAGCATTTAGCCGATTTAAAGCTGGATCAAGACCTTCATGACCAACAATCCTTTGACTTGGATCATAATTATGGATGGCATTTTCTGACTCTGATGATCCTATTACACAAGAACAAATAAGGTCTACTGGGTGATTTTTCATTAATATTTGGGGGTCATTTAGTTTTCTGAAGCCCTGTTCCATTCAGAGGAAGTCTACCAGTGAGCGCCCAAGCTAATATGCAGATTTAGTCACTTAAGTGGACTTAATAGGATGACATATTTCTATTTAAATCAGATTAAAAGCAGTTACACTTCAGAGAAGTGACATAAACACTGGCTCTCAAATTGTGAGAAATTCTATACTTTAATCTCATGGGATAGCCTCTCATGTTGACACATTTCCTATAATTTCATCTGTCACAAATTAAATTGTCATCGAGCTTTTTAATAATAGAACATTATTATTCCAAGCAATATGGTGTCTCTGTAGGAGGCCAGTTAATTTTTGGGCCCGCAGCCTCACTGAGGACCCCCTTTGGATTGTGTCCATTTGTTTTTTTTACTATCCACTGTGTAATAGTACCCTCCTTTTGGAGAAGTCAGGACGCTGGACCACATTGCCAATGGCTCTCAGAGACCCTTAGTGACCACCTCAACAGGTTCACCATCTCAACCATGCCACATACACACCCGGAAAACATTAAACTTATCAGACGGAGAGGTGAAAAAAAGTGTAAATTATGAAACTTAATTGATTGTCTCAGCTTCATTTGGCCCTTCCCCCCCTTCCCCTCCGCAATATGGTACGCTTGTCAGCCTTCCTGATAAATTACATGCATGTATTTGCATGAATTTAGGAAAAATCCAAGTCTGTTTTGTTTGCCAAAGTAACAATCCAGTAAATGTCTGGTATTCTTCACAAAAAGAAAAAACGTGCCTGCATTGTTTTCAGTGCAATCTTTAGCTAAGCAGTTTAGTGCTGGTACAATGCCCTCCAGTTGTTTTATTAAGCACACAGTATAACACTTTATTTTTTTAGACATGTCAAACATGGAATGTAAACATGAAAACTGGGGCTGGACTGCGGCTGGGTAATTATTACTTTTGAGTTATTTCCTATTTCCTACAAAATCGGTAGTGTTTGGATTGTAAAAGGATGTAATAGTTTTCTGTGTAAATATGTACATGTTTTTAATTTACCTTTTTGTTTATCAAAGGAAACCTCGGGACTGCCATCCCTTCTGTCGTAAAAAGGCTCCCATTCAATAGCAGCATTGTGATTAATCGTAATGTCTGTGAGATGTCTGCCATCTAAAGGTGGGCGCTGTAATCATCTGCCCACTGACCCCATGATGCTCATCTACAGCGCTCCGTGCAGCCCCCGTGTTTTATACGTCAGATTTTAAATCTCAGATTAACTGAACGCAGTTCTCTCCCACATGTCGAATGGTCTCAGAGTAGGAGTACATTGAAGTACAGAACACATGTAGTGAAAGAATCTGTGGCATATTCTTGGTTTGGGGCTGTAATCAAATGCTGCTGCTGAGGCCTGTGATAAAATTAGGCAATGTTGTCTAAATAAGGGATGAAGGTCTCATAATTGCCAGTTCTGGAGATCTGAAGTGCCGGGTGCCAACTGTCAGAGCAAGGCTAATGATGACAAATGTCCCTCTATGCAGATTGCTGCAGCAGCACGGGTGTGCAGCTGAGAAAGAACAAGAAAAAAAAGGCACAAGGCCTAATAAGAGAAAGCCTGTGCATATATTTAATGACCTACATGGAAGCAACTGACGGGCTGCCTTGGAAAAGTACTAAAGCCTGATGCTGCTGGCATAAAATGGAGTCCCCTATAGTACCTGTGACTGTGATCAATAGACGATAACCTCTATTACAAAAAGCTATTAATATGTCGTGATCAAACCAATGCAGTGAACAAATAATAAAAAACACCATCAACTCACAGTTGCTTGTAGGTGTGTCACGATGATTTTTAAATGAAAATGTGTCATGTTGGAAAAGTAGTTTAAGGTAAACTGCTCTAGTCGGAGCAAGGATCAGCATCGCCCTCATGTTTAGTTTTCCTTATTAGCTCTTCCTTGGTCATTATTGTGCAAGTTGGCAACTTTTGGTGGAAAGATAAATGGCCTGTTACTCTGTGGCTCATGTACGAAATAACAGGCTGTTGCTGGTTAACGTAGCTAAACTGTTGTTGGTTAACATGGCTTTAAAAAAAAATGTTTTTGGGGACTTGGTTTGAACCTCCTTTGTAGCAGAGAGCCATAAATCTAATTTCTCTTACTGTGACGTAAGGCCTACGCTAATAAAAGAGCAAACCCAGAGTGTTGCAT